TATATATATATATATATATATATATATATATAGCTTCCTAGCTCTAGAGTTGGTCAACTCAATTATTTTGTAATATCAGCTTTAGAGAAGTAGCCGCCAAATAGAAAACAATGTATTTTGTATTCCATGTTTGTATATATATATATATGCACATAGGTGAAATATCGTGTAAGAAGAAGAATTAAGGTTAGAAGCATAAAAAATGATATGGATTCTTGATTATTTTTAATCTCAAACTTATCCAAGAATCGAGTTTGATACATGGATTGATTCGGTGCAACTTATCCTAATGTGCATCCAAGGATGGAGCTTATTACGCTTCTCACCTTAACGTTACTTCCATGTGTGTGTGTGTATAGGGTTGTGTTCACGTGATACCAACTTATTTTAATGAGACCTACGAGACCACATTTTTACATTAAAAACTTCATAAACAAACATTGTAGAGGTAAAAAAAAAATCTCAACCTTCATAGCAAAATCACTGTGAAGTTTCAAGTGTAAAAAAGTGGTCTCACGAAAACAAGTTGGTTTCACATGATCATAAGTATCCATGTGTGTGTGTAGGAGTCTTCTTTTGAGAACCATTAAATTATGATAACCTTGAGAACTGGTGAATCGTGTGCTATTTCACGTGATCATTTTCCATCTATGACTTGGATTTAGTATATTAATTAACATATATTTGTTTTACATATATTCGTATTACAATGTCAACATTTTTATGTATTTGTGAAACAAAAAATACAGTTAAAAAGTTTCACATTATAAAATAAATATATATTAATCAATACATTAAATTCAGTATATAGATAAAAAAATATAATGTAAAATAAAATAAGAAGCGTGTTCTTGAAAAGGATAAATCATATTTGAGGTCGGCGTCCACTTATGTGTGCGCTGGCAAATGGAATATTTTAAAGACATGAAACTCAATTTGCAATTTGCAATTTTGGGGAGGTTATTACTTGACTTCCTACTGCTTCCTACCTTCAATGGTTATATTGAGGGGTTCTTTTGCATTGATTATAAAAATAACTTATTGATTTATTTTGGTATGATATAGGTAATAAACATTTTTGAGTGTTTAAATAAACAGTTTATATCGCTGTCAAATTGCTAATAAGAAGTTTTTAAAGAAGTTAAACCATTTTAACTTATAATAAATTGATAAGGACTTTTGTAGAAAAATATAAATTGTTTCAAATAAACAATCCCAAAAACTAATAGATTGAGTGATTTCTTTTTGTAAATTTGAATATTGATGAAATATTATCAAGAGAATGTAAACATACAAAAATCCAATATTGTTATATATTAAAATTTCATGCATAGTATAATGATATAGACCTTGATTCATTGTTTTAGAAAATCATACATTCTCTATTATTTACGACATCCTGGACTCGCAACAACTCTTAGGGTCGGGAAAACACAAACAAATATGTAAAAACCTATTGACCCTGAAAATCAACTGTTAAGGTACAAGTAAATACCTTGAAATATTCAAGACAACGTATCAGTCACAACCTTCACAAGGAATATCGTTAACTAGAATTCCACAAAAACTGCAGCACGCCATGAAAAGGAAACTCGGAGACTCATTATAGTTGTGATGACGGATTCTCTCTATCAATAAGATCGTTAGTTCTACTATTGTTGATCTTAATTACATTGTTCGTATACTTGATCTTTCTAGGAATTACAAGAAGCATTTTGATACACAACATTTCTTCGTTGAAATCAGTCATCTTTCTTGTAATCGAGTGGGTCTCATTCCACTGTATGATTTGTTTGGGAAGTATACAGATTGAAGTTCTTAATGAAAATAAACTAAAAAAAAGTATTTATATACCCCTTAGGATATTTACACAATAATCCCTTCGACTTTAATACAATCACAAAATGTTCAAACACTTGTCAGTTTTAATGGCAAGGAACTCACAAAAGATGACATGATTCATAACATTCTTTCCACTTTTAATATATCAGTAAATATCAATGAACCAATAAAGTTAGAATGTAATCCTTAGACAAACTCATCAACCTACTATAAATGGTTGAGAGACATAGCATGGTTCTTTCCAATAACAACACTAGACATGTCAGGACAAAGAAAATTCCCGAAAACAATATCAAAAGAGTCAGACGTGGAAACAACTCCAAAGGATTGTGAGCTAAAAACAATTTCACACATGTGACATCTATGCACCATGTGGACAAGACCCTCGAAAGGGTCAGGGTCAGGGTCAGGGTCATGGTAAGAGTTGGGAATGATTTTTCAATACCTAGAGCAGATATATAACTACTACCCTAGGTGATAGTAAATAGGTTGAAAATAAACATTGATGCATGTGCGGTATTACTTGTTAGTCCCGAAGGGAATGACAATAAACAGAAAGTAATTGTAGAAGGGGGGTTGAATACAATTACACAGATTTTTTTTTAACTTTTTAGTTCTTATTGATTTAAATCAAGAATTAATACACACAGAAATACACAAGATTGTTGCGGAAGATAGGAAAGGAAAACCTAACCTAAACAATCTTACAAGGAGAATAACTTTCAAGAACAACACAAAGAGTTCTTGAAAGGAAATGAAGAACAATAAGAATTTCTTCGCACACAGAAGAGCAAGGAAGAAGAAGAGAATAGCCGATTGCTTTGAGAATGCACTAAGTAATCTTGCAAAAGCCAGTTATGTGCATGGGAGATGCACACTGCCTTTTTATACTACCTTCAGCATTTAATGCATAGGGACACTTGTCACTTGAGGATAAGAAGGCAGGGGTTGACTTGACCAATGTTGATATCTCATTTTCATCGTACACAGCGTGCATACAACACTGTT